GGCCACCATGAAATGACCAGCTGAGTATATGTTTCTAGGAGGAAGCTGTTATGTGCATATGCATATTTACTACAAATACTGATTAAACCTTGAAATCTTTTTACTAATGTAAAATATAACTTTGAAAGTAAAAAGTGGTACTATATGTAAAGATGGATCTGAAAGACTATGACCAGAGAAATGTGATTATTAGAAAAGATAGTATGTCTTAGAGGTAAAATCTTCACAAACTTCTCTGTATGAGATGAAACGCTTTTTTTCATCTTTCATAATTAAGAAAAACACCAAAGTAGTCATAATAAGAAAACATTCAAAGTCTGAACTGTTTGTTATGAACTGTTTTCTTCACTATCCACTTATACAAGTGATACAAGTCTTTTTACTTGGTCATACTTAAGTTACCAGTTATTAAAGCTACACAATGAAATACCATTTCAGCTTTGATAAAATATTTTAGCAAATATATGCTACTAACACTGTCCAGTAATACATTTTCCTACATGCTAAACTTAATCAGGATTCTCCACATTCAGATTTTTAAGAGCTATCAAAAAAACTTGGGGCAAAATTGAAATTCCAAATGCTTCTGGATGACTTTCAGTTTGAGAAGGTGGATGGACAAGAGTGTTTTGCTGTTTTCTTTTACACGAGATAAAATAGCTATGCATATGTGTGTGTGTAAACACACAAAAAAATCACTGAGAAAAATTCCACTATTAACACCAGGTAGTATCGTTCTGCTGCAGCCAGATTATTGTAGTCTAGTCTAGTCACCATGGGTAATTGCAGTGACCACTATTGTGCAAATATTTCCTCATCTTCAGCTTCACTCATGTCTATTTTTATTCAGCAATACACATCCTCAGATGATATAAAGTTCCATTGCTCTGCTCTGCCTCAGTGAAATTACACTCATAACTCAAAAGACACACATTTGTGCAAAAGCAAGGTCTGAAGCTCTCTTCTTCTGCAAAACATGAAGTGCAAAGTTTGTCAGGAAAGTACCCATAATGTTAAACAGGAAGTGGTAATTTCCAAAGTAATGCAATATAATAAGAGACCTGAGTGAAAAAATAGAAACGCACACATTATGTAAAAAATATCACATTACAACTGGGATTTGAAAAAATAGTAACAAAACTTGGCATAAAAGAGATCTAATTCAAATTTAGGAACTCTTAGTAAACTTGCTTTTTTCCTCTATCTCACAAAGTTTATTTGCCTTTGCTGTTAATTAAATATATATATATATGCTTTCCATATACAGTTCAGAACAGTATTTTAAGACAGGAGACTAGTTTATGTTCATATAAATAAAACAAATTCAAAGCTACCAGGAAAACTGCAAGTGAAAAGGCCACTCACTTTCATACTAAAATACAGCATTCACTCCACCTAGCCACTGTGTGCTTAGAGGCACTCACAGGGAAATGAGTCATTTTCTATACCTGAGAAGAAGTGTGCCTTGAAGCCCTTTTTTGACACAGTGTTGTCGGATCTGAACTCAATTCGCATGTTGTTGTACTGAGAGGTGATAACTTCAGGCACTTCTGTACCACAGAATTTACCATGTAGTTTAGAATCAGACGAAAGGCCACTACGAATCTCCACATAATCATATTTGCAAACCTGAGAATAGAAAGAAATACATTTTTTTGGCTAAGCAAAGGAAAAGCATGAAGTTGTTTACAAATGCAAGAACTCAGACTGGTATATGTTACTTAATAATTAATACTTTTTTTTTATTATTATTTTATTTTATTTTTTTTTTTTTATTTTTCCCTGACTCTGAAAACATTTCTAAACGCTGACAAATGTTCACTGATTTTGTGTAAGTTTATTTTAAGGTCACTAAGGCATAGCTATTCTATACAATACATTGAAAACTTTATTTTGATAGATACTAAGCTATGTTTAGTATCTAAATTTCAGGATGCTTAGTAATATTCCCATTTGATGTAAAATGTAAAAATTCTAGTGACATAAAATCTAGAAATATTCACTGTAAAAAATCACAGCTATCTTTGTGCTATAAGCCACACACCCAGAACCTACAATCTTCTACTGTTTGCATTTCATAGACCTTTTTTAAAAAAATGGTAATTTTCACATAGGAACTTAGAAGACAATTTTTTTATATAATGTATTTAAGACATTCATTTATGTACAAAGATATAAATCTGCACTGTTAAAAACATCTGACTTTCTTTAGCAGTAACAAAGCTATAATTCTGAAGGCTGATGCATGTAATTTTCCTTGAAAGGTTTAAAATGAAGTAAACTAATATAATAAAAAAGCCTTATGCAAGGCCTACTACTTGTGATAATACTTTCAATACATAATCCCTTGGTTAATGTAAAGCCTTCCACCCAAAAACTTCTAAGCTTCTTAGGCTCAACTACCAATCATTTAATCAAAAATGTTCCAGTTGTCTACAATTAATAGCTTAAGAGAAAACAGTGGCCAGGAGGATTCATACAGAGCTTAGATTGTCCATTAAATCCAAGCTGTATTTGATAAATCACTATTTCTAGTCAAAAAAGAAATGTCAGGGGACCTGGAGGGGAACTAGAGAAATGAATGTTTTGGCCTTTGTTCCTCTCTCTCGCTATGAAATATTAAATGATTGTCAACATCATATTATATTAAAATCAATTGGAATTCTAGATATAGATTAAGTTTTCATTCACTGGAGCAATTTTTGTATGTTGAAGAGTTGTAAAGTGACCAATTCAGTTGATGCTATGTTTATACCACACAAAGAACACAAAGATTCATAAAACTTGAACTACTGTCACATGCTGACTTACATTAATGTATATGATTTTCAAATATAGCTCACAACCTTAATAAATCTCAACATTTTCAGCAATATATCAGTGGTGAGTTTTGATTGTTTAGTAGCTTTAGATTAGAAATTAAATGTAATATCAGGTAGATCTAGCTTCCTTCATACTATACTATATTTTTTTGAAAAAATTGCAAGTTAAATGCAAAATTAAAATTGTAAAATGTATATGTAAAATATTAAAACTGCAATATTGGAAAAGACATATTAAACTTGGTCCTAAATGGAGCTCCTCTAACAAAAAAACAAAACAAAACAAAGAACATAAAAAAAAAAATTTGCTAAATGTATACATTTTATGTCTGCACTCAGACAATATGTTAGAATGCTCCAGATATTATGTTTCTTCTGACTTCCACAGGTACCATTCTTAGTACTACTGTTTAACAGTATAAACCTGAAATTTAGTAGCACAGGAGAGTATCAAACTGAAGTTCTAAATGTTGGAAACCACAGTGCATATATTTTTCACATTTGCTTAAATTACCTGTCTTGTATGACCCTAAAAAAGTGATTTAACTTCTTTTCACCCTAGATGTCTTCCTTGCAAATCTGTCTTAACTATTAAGAAAGTGCAGGAAAAAAGTTTTATGACTTGTTCAAATAGGAATTGAATTTTAATTCTTTCAGATTTCTACGATTTTGTTACATCTTTTGCAGTTCTTATAATAATGATAACAGTGTATAACATAAAAATAATTAAAAGTTGGAATTTTATGGACTTTAGAACCCATCCCTTTTTTTTTTTTTTTAATCTGACATTGCTGCTTCTGCAAATAATTTTGAGATATTTTTGAAAAGCCATGTCTAGGTTGTTTCTTAGTTGAAAACTAAATTCCAACTTTTGCCATTTCAGATCTCATGCCTAAAACATGTCCCATCCTCATATCAAGTAATTTGCTACAAATTTGTTTAGTCAGAAATAATGTCCTGGGATTTGGGTTCTCAACACCATGTGAAGAATATCCAGATAAACTCCATGGCTACAGCACATTATGACTGGAGCAAAGGAACTCAATGGTATGACAAAGCAGTGCCTAGGAATCAGAACAGAGGATGAAAAGTTGATGTTGAAACTCATATCTTACCAGTTTGTACCCAACACCCAATACAACCCTCACTGCTTTATTTAAAGCTATAGGGATCAGCCCTTACCACATGGAAGGCCCCTGACACTCTTACCTGTGTGGGGTTGACATCTCCCATGCCTCTGGGATCTGCCAGCTCAAAAACTGCTGTTTTTTATTGTTCCTTAATTCTGGCACTATTCCTTTTAAAATATTCCCCCCATGAGATACTTGTAAGTGATTTAAACGCTCCCTTACTCCATCACTAACCACAGCTTATGTGTACTCTTTGTAGTCATAGTCTGTAAAGATGACTTGGTTTCTCCAGATTTTCTTCTCTTGAATTCTTTCCAATATGCCTCAGCCATTTGCTCTGTTTTATATTGTTGATAAAAAAAAAGTCATCTGAGACTCAGCAGAGAACATTTATTATAAATTTCTTGTAATACATATACATTTAGATGATATGTAAAAGACAGCTATTCTCTCCATATTTATTTTGAAAAAAAACAGAAACAGTCCCAAAATGACAAGACGACTCTCTATGGTTATTGTCAGTGTATGAAAGGTCAGCAAAGGTTTTATAAGGCAATATCTATTTTTGAACTCTTGTGAAGCTGTTTAGCGTGTAAAAGATTGTGCAGCTTTTTGTTCAGTTACTTACTTCATTCCCTTCTAACTCAAAAAACTCAAACTTCATTGAAATTCGGTATTGGGTCGGTGCAACCACCTGCCACACACAGTTTTTGTTTGGAGGATACTCTTTGGGCCACCCTGGTGTGGTTATAGTCCCATTTAGCTTTGTCAGGAGTCCTCCGCAAGCAGCTGTAAAATTAAAAGGGAGAGCATTGTTTCTGGACTTAAACCGTGTTTTACTATAAACAGAAGCACACTGAGAAGATTCAGCCCTCTCACTACTTACACGGCTCTAATGCCCAGACCAACTAATCAGAATCTTGTTTTATCATCCTTGGTGCAAGCAAAGAGAAAGAGACAGCCCCTATCTTGAACAGCTTGCAGGTTTGTGGACAGAGATAAGTTTCAGGACTACACAAGGCGTTATCATATTCATTCTTTTTCCCTTCCCTCCAGAGACTCTGGTTATTCTCTCGCAGCCTTTCCCGTGCAAGCCCTCTGACCTCACTGCCCTCCCCAGAACCATGACCACCCCTCTTCTGACAGATGGACTACTTAAGATGCGCTTTGCTTTTCCCCAGCTTCTCTCCTTGATTATTGATCCAGAATCAACCCTATCTATCACAGCTCATATAGCTGTATATGCTTCCCATAACCTGCTAGATAAGGTCACTTCTTTGGGATAGCAGTCACATACTCTTCAGTCACAATTACTTTTGCTGAAGTATGTATGCTCAACAAATAGAGAAAATTCCTATTATTTCCAAATACATGCCCAAGAGTCACCTCCATATAACATAACAATACTGAACCATGTCTGTGAATGTAGTTCAGACAGCAAAGTGTAAACACGTTACACATTAATCTTTTCCATCTGTGGATTTTTTTTTTTTTTTCCAAAAAAAACCCCCCTGAAAGTAATGGGACTTGCAGGGGTTCTTGATCACACTCTGCTGCACTGATACCCCTAGGGGTCTGTGACAGCACTGGAAATCATCCACAAATCTCTATCAAACTGGTGGGGGTCCAGCTTATTCCAACTGCTCTATGCTAACACTGAATCCTTTAAAAAAGTGGCTATTCCCATCTAGCTGATGGTCTCACTGCATCTGCCTCATCTAATACACCTGGGAGAACTCTCTAAGAGAGCCATGTCAGGGCTCATTTGGCCAACCCAGACACATACCAGTCTTCCTCCTGGCACCGAGCTTTCCATTCAGAAGATTTCTTGCACACAGAAAGATAATTTGACTAGGGTAGGGGAGAACTAAGACCCCTGGGTCTTGCCTCTGTGTGTAAAAAAAAAAAAAAAAAAAAACCAACCAAAAAACAAACCCAAACACAAATACCAGGCATGGGTTTAGAGACTGCACTCAGTTGACACAAGCTGTACCCTTAAATGATCTAGTCTGAGTCAGAGCCACTACTGCTAGCTGTCAGTTTCTGCTTTTCAATGTCACTCCATTGCTCCTTGAGGCAATGGTGGGAAACATGGAAATAATGAAAATAAAATCTTACAGTTTTCTAATATGCTGCCAGCACAGGAGATTCAGATTAGATGACCATGAAGCAATGTTCTGTGCCTGTCAACACTGCAGTGAAGCATTGGGCAGAGTTTCTGACTTTGAAGCTTCAAATCTGGTATCATATGTCAATTAACATAACTAGGTCACCCCTCAGATTCCCAAATTATAATTAGGGTGTAATGCTCACCGTGACTACACAGTGATTTTAACTCAGCAGTCCCAAGCAGTATCTACACAGAATGAGCGCGACATCACAAGGAACAAATGCATATACACTTTTAGGTATAACTCCGGTTTTTTACTTCACACTGCACAACTTTGAGTAGACTTCTCCTTTTGCCAGAGCTGCTTTTCTGTTGGGTGCTAGGGATGTATTCCATTTTTATTTTTTGGAAGCATGGTGAAGAGGTTTTCTAAAGACTGGTAACCTTCCCTAGTATTCTGAGTCTGATCAGCAAGCAGACTAAACCAAATTCCTTACATAAATTTGGGCTGACAATCAAAGGCCCAGAGACCAAACCTCTTCTTCACTCCCTCCTTAGATTTAACCTTATCTTCTGCATACTGCCTAATATGCAGACATGTAAATAAGTTTTTTTCCAATGTGCTCACTATTAAAAAGTTGGCAAGTGGAGGAGGGAACAACGGAAAAACCAATCACCTTGATGACAGCAATAACCTAACATGCCTGTAGTGCAGGGCTATCACCACCTCATACAAACACACAGCAAACAAACAAAACCAACCCCACAGAACCAAAAGTAAAAGAACAAAACATGTGAAGAAACTAATCAAAACTACCCAAATTGTGACAAATCATGAATTAAAGTGAGAAAACTGGAAAAAAGAGAGACCAGTGAATCATGTCAGAAGAAAACAATAGCTCTGTGTGCTCTGATTTTCAAACTCCATTCAGTACTCAAACAGATGCACTAAGATTAAAAGAATTTGTGCTCTGAACTTACTGCTGTTTATGCATAAAAACTAAACATTGCTGTGCAATGTTCAAGAGCTTTTGCTTCTTTCCTTTGATATGAAATATGTATAGAAGCTTATCTCAGCCCAATCCTATGTTAAGGATTCTTCCACTTATCAGCTTTTCATTTCTCCAAATGATTATCTGAACATGCATTGCTCACTATGAAAAGCAGAATTTGTTTCCAGCAAGAAAAGTCCACAACCTGACTGGGAGTGGAGAGGATTTCTTTGTGCTTTGAGCTACAATAAAGGATCCTGCTCTTCAAACCTGCTAGCTTCCCAGTCGCTCCCCAGTCAGAGGTGATCAGAGACTGTTAAATACTCTAATTCAGAGACAGTGGCACATCTTTGATAATTGTCTCCTTATTCATAGTGAGAGATTTTGCTTTCATGAGTATGAATAATCTACTAAGTGGTTTTGGGAAGGTATGAAGTCCAGCTTTCATCATTCCTGAGTGACTAACAGCAAAACCTGTAAAATTAAATTAGTGACATTGGATGTGTCATGACTGCTGTGGACAAACATTACTCTGGCACCATGATTTAAAATGGCGCACTGGTTTTCCAGGTTGGGTTAGACCTCACACTGCTAAGACAGAGCACATGAAAGATGTAGCAGCATTTCATTCAAGCAATGGCACCCTATGAGCTTTAAGAGCCTATAATCCAGCAATGCTCTATACCTTCACAGCTCTTTTTGTCAGGACCAAGTTCATAGCCAGGATCACAGGCGCACTGGTAACTGCCGAGAGTATTTACACAGCGCTGCTCACAGCCACCATTGTCAGGTTTGGCACATTCATCTTCCTCTGCCAAGACAGGGAAGAATGCAAAAAAAATGTTAAATAATTACCTTTCTCAGCTGTAATTGTTGGATCAATATTAACCCAGAAAGCTGTATACATGCCATTATAAGATGCACTACATAACACACTGTGGTTGCTGACTAAGATTTTCTAATGCTAAGGTGACCTGCAACAGAGAAAACAAACATTTGTCCTTTGTGGCGTTTGAGTGGTGTTTTTTTACAGCAATACCTACCAACAGCTGCAGATCTAATTTATAAGCACTTTGTGGGCAGCATACAATAATTCAGGCAGCCATCATCTAAAGGTTGTATAAAGTACTGAAAGAAGGACTGAAAATCCACAGCAGGGTCACTTGAAGGGCACTTTATCTCCCACAGAATAAATTTGTGCATTATCCTGAATTCATACTCCAAACCAGATTAACAGAATCCTCAAATCCCAGGTTTTCATTCTACTGATATTAAAGGAAACAAGATGAATTGGGGATGGGGGAAGGAAGGGAATAATGTATTATCTCTACTAGCTTTGAAGTATACCCATGAGATTCATTGTTAAAATATGCCTCAGATGTTGAAACACTGTTTCTTTACACCACAACAAGTAATGTCTTAGGAATAAAACAAAGCTCCCACTCTCATACCCACGGCCTTCAAGGTTATAACTGTCTACAGTGAAAACTAAAAGGGTGAGAAAAGCCACAGCTTATGTCTTCTCAAAAGAGTAAAAAGGTTCTACTGGTGGTGTTACCTGTGTTTTGAGTGTCACCATGGCCACACCACTGGGCTTTCACTGGGCCATGGGCAGCCCAACGTAGGAATTACACACTTCCCATGCACCAATAGTTGCAGGTACAACTGCATTTATATGACACACGCATAGCCCAAAACTGGAGGAAGACTGTGAGGCCATTGGTAACTATTATTTCTCAGTTGTTTTGTTTTTTTCTTGCTCACAAAGCAGCCTAATGCCCCAAATGGATTAGAAAACTCACAATATTTAGACAAAAGCAAAATACCTTAACAGAACAGGACTAGGGGGAATGGGGCAAAGCTGGCAGTGGGCAGATTCAGGCTGGATGTGAGGAAGAAGTTCTTCACCATGAGAGTGGTGAGCCCCTGGAATGGGTTGCCCAGGGAGGGGGTTGAGACCCCATCCCTGGGGGTCTTTAAGGCCAGGCTGGATGAGGCTCTGGGCAGCCTGATCTAGTGGGAGGGGTCCCTGCTCATGGCAGAGGGGTTGGAACTGGGGGATCTTTGTGGTCCCTTCCAGCCCTGACAGATTCTGATCTGCTTTAGCAGAGGACTTTAGAGCCCTAATGGCTTAATGGTTGGACTTGATGATCTTAAAGGTCTCTTCCAACCTAAAGGATTCTATGATTCTATGATTTGTGATTGTACTACTTAACTCGACATTTGACAATGTCAAAAAAAGACATTTTTCACAAGATTAGATATGTTTCAAAAGTTTTTCAAAAGTGTTTCAAAACTAAGCTGAGTATTTGAACCTGATGAGTTTCTGATTGTTCCCTCACTCTTTGGGCATGTTTTACAAAAAGATTCAAATACCTCTATTGTTTTGTTTTGATAAAATTGTATGCCCAGTTAAAATATACTGAAGACAGTATAGGAGTGATATTAGTAAAAACAGGTTGAGAAAAAATTTTAGTATCATGTCATAATTTTTCTAGCACAAAATCAAGCGACAAGCAGTTCACAGATCTCAAATACGCTTTAACATTTACCTTTAAAAAAGTTAGCAGCAAACCCTGCTTTGTTAACAGTTCCATCAGAAACAAACTTCATCCACAACGTATTAGAGGTAGATCTAATGTCTTCTGGCTTGTCATAGCCACAAAAGTGACCAATTAAAGGACTGTTCTCATTTGTTCCATCTCGAATTTCCAAGTAATCATATGCACAGTTATCGTGCCTTTCAATCTGGAAAAAAAAAAAAAAAAAAATTTAAAGTGAACTATTTGAACTTGACCATAAATATCAAATATCAATCAGTTAATAGAATGGAAATTTATCAAAATTAAGGTTATGCTTCTCTGTTTAGGGTTCAAGCATCAGAAAGACAACAAGCAGTACCAGGCTTTTTTCAACTATACTTGTTTTCCACAAGAAAAAATATTGTTGAGATGTTACACAGGACACAACAATCTAATTGGGAAAAAAAGGAACTAAAAAAGACACGTTCACCTCTAAGCTTCCTAATATTCTGTCAAATTCCTACTCTCAGCTCAAGTAAAGTCCTCTTTTCTCATGTACACTCAAGTATACCGGACTAACAGTTTAACAACTAAACAATTCAGATATATTAATTGTTTTTGAAATATTAAAAAAAATCAATTTTTATTAATATAAGTAAGTTTTTTTAGACATTATCAACTTATACTATTTCAGATAACAATCATTGTCTTATTTTCTTCCTTTATCCTGAACACAATGCAAAATTTCACATCTGTCACTACCCACTGATGTTACAGGGTAACTGTAAAAAAAATACAATGCAGAAGTTAGGGGGATCTGTAGAATTAGATCCAAATACACTTCTAAAACTAGAAGCTCTTAAACAGCCAATAGAACATATAACACCAAAATATAACGTTTTGGGGTTTTTTTTCAGCTGATGTCCCTGGGTTTTGTGGCATGATTCTTGAATTCAGGTTTCTTCCTTTGGCTTTCTGGGTCAATGAGTCAATCCTTGCTGTACTGATGAAGAAACCTACTAAAACCAGAACAACTGAAAATGTCCCTCTCATTCAAACATCCTGCCAGACGACATCCAATCATAGATTAATGTGTGAGTGGACATGTGTGCCTTTCTACTTGAGCAGCAAGCCTTTTGCTCTTTACATAATAGTATTTGCACAGTCAGTCAGAGTGGGAACTGCACCAAAGAAGAAAGCGGTAGCAGCCCAAATATGATCCTGTCTGGAGCCTAGATAATATATGATGCCTGTCTTTATTGAGAGAGTATCTTTCCCAGCAGAATTAAAAGCTCTCTTGATCTGGGTCATTTTACTGCAGGATTACTTCATGTTACTCAAGTAACATAGCATCTTACTTACAAAAGAATTAACTAAATCCAAGCATTCAAAATTAATAATTCTAAGAAAACAACCATTGAGTGAAGTGGCTGAATTGTGAGGCAGATTTAGGGATGGGGGTGGGGGCAGGACCACAGTCAGGGAGAAGGGGTTTGAGAAGCCTCAAATTAAATTCAGCACACCCAAATGCTGATAAAATGACAAAGTCAAAATGAAATCAAATCCAGAAAACTCCACATCTTATCTCTGGACAGAGTTTTTCCTGCATATAAGATGCAGTACAAGCAGCTGCTAGTACTCTGTTCTAATTGTGCAGTATGGCCAACACTAAGCTCAGTAACCACCACAGTCTAAGGAGCTTTCATCTAGCACATGAGGATTTCTGTTTCATTTATGTAAGAGGGAAAAATGGGGGAAGGGTCTGTTTGATTCTATTTCATTTTAATGGCACCACAATATGCCATTTACACACAAAATATATTTGTCTTCTTTCCAAATTTCCAATTCTTCAAGCATTTACACACATAATTTTCTCCCACTCACTTCTCTGGCACAATCCATATTTCCATTTACTGTAATTTCTTAGCTCTTTGCTTGGGAATTGTTTTGGGCTAGGGTTTGGGAAATGAATGAGAAGTGTCATGAAGGTCTGGGATGCAACCACCTATAGCCAACTTCAATGGCAACTGTATAGCTGCAACTAATATGGTTGGGCAGGTGTCTATCTGAGAACTGATAAGTCTTTGACACTTTAATACTGATTCCAAATTTTACTAATCTACATTATAAAGTTTAAATACATGACATCATATTCCAATTTGAAACAAAGCCTGCCTTGTTATCTCAGTAAAAATCACATTGCACCCTGATTTAGAAAGTAGTAACCGGGTCCAAAGCTCACTAATAACAATGAGGGAATTGTGTATTTTCCCCGTGTATGCCTGTGAGCATTTCACTGTGCAACACTTCCAACCAACACCTGATTTTTCCATGTTTCTGTGTTCTATGGGGCAATATGGAAATTATGATTTTACACAGGCCAAGTGCAGCTCTGAGTCACACATACTAAATTCCTGTTGAGGTGAATTATTAGTTTCTTCTCTGAGAATTGCTCTATTTTTGGCAGAAGATAACAGCTAAAAATACTTTAATATAGCAGTAAATTGCTAAACTTCCCATAACTATAAAAATCAACCAACTTACAAAGTGCTATTGATTCTCAGTAAAACTGTTTGAAAGCCAGGCATTCTACTGTATTTAGTTTTAATGCACTACTCCTGCAAGTGATGCAATTAGTATTATCAGTATTATTATATTCAGGGATTAAATTGTTAGACCTATATATAAACTAACAGATAAGTAGTGTGTTTTTGAGAAACGATAAGTGGTGTTAAGGCACTTGGTAACCAATTAAAATGAGTATAAAATGTGCTCTGCTTATATGTACCTGGGGTTTTAAGATGTGGTACTGTCATCTGGGAACAGTGACATACAAAGATCCATTACACTTGCAATAGTCTCTTGTTCTTCCTACTACAAGGGTAGAAAATCTCCTCAAGTTAATGAAAGGACTCTCAATGGGTTTATTTGTAACTGTACTGATTCTATACACCTTATTTACTGGAGCATTAAAATTTCACAAGATTGATATTACACGTGGATGAGAAGAAATACACAATATGTTAGCATATGCAAAAAAGTATAAACAAACAGGTTTTGCAGAAAAATGCATTGCTTATAGAAGAATGAAAGATACCATCAGCTCCTGAAGGTCTTGGAGGAAACCAAGAATTTGAATGGCATTACAGAACTAAGCTGAGAAAATGCCAGAAAAACTCCTTAAGACAGGCACATAAGCAAAGGAAAACTCTAAGAAATCTCCTGGTGAAATGGAAAGCCAGAGACATTCTCAGCATTGATGCTCAAAAGAAAAGAAAATTGCTTGCACATAGTCTCAGTTTTGAAAACAAAAAAAAAAATCCCAAAATAATCCCACCCTAATGACTTGAGACTAAAATATACTTGGTTAAATTCCAGACTACCTTGTCTTGTAGCACTCCCCTAACAGAAAAATACCCAAACCCCATAACTGTAAAAAAGAAACCAACCCAAACCAAACCAACACCACACCCCAAAGAGAAAGAGAGAAGAGACAAGGATTTGAAGAGCAAATGCAGGAGAAATCATATTTCAGGAGAAATCTTCCAATTATTTTTTGTCATTGTTAATTTATTAGTTGATAGAGTCAAATTCCAGTACAAGTAAACATATCCAACTAAGGTCATAGACTTAAGTCATAAAAGGCAGGATATATGCCTAGTAGAATCGGATGATCAGATAAATTTTATCCTGACTTATGCAAAAATAATTTAACACTATCTGCACAAAGTTTAACAGGGCCACTCAAATGAGGAAGATTAATACGTCTCTGCTTGACAAACCCTCTAGGTTGCCTTAGCTGGTAAGATTAGAGCAAAATTGCTTAAAAGCAAACAAATGAAAACACCACAAACACACACCAATCAAAACACAAGAACTGCAGATTTTCAAAGAATGATATAATAAAGGTGACTATAGAACAATATAATAAAAGTGACTATAACAATGAGGAAAAAACAGAGTTACCAGTCCCAACACCTCTGGTCTTATCTAGATACTAGAAAGTCACTGCTCAGCAGGAGCCAAATAAGAAAGAGTAATCCTGTACTCAGTGGGAAATGCATTGCCCACAACAGGCAAAACAGGATGACTCGCTGATACATTTTGAAATTCTCAGCTTCCCTAGTGCTTTCATTTCAGAGTGACGGGTATTTATACAGTTATTTTTTCTAGCATTACATATGGATAATAAGAATTCCTCTTACTTAACTGTACCTTTCAAAGGACAGAGAAGTAATTTCCTCACAAACACTGATATAACTCTTTGGCCTGACATTTACTTTTTTTTATCTCAGCTGGCACAAAAAAATGTGATTTTTAAACAGCTTTTTGTATTACTGGGCAGTGTACCAAGGATTCAGTCCAGAGAGGGACTTAGTACCAAAAAAAAAAAAACCACACCTACATATAGGCATTTGCACCTGAATTAGAAATCAGACCCAATGGTGAATATCTAGGCAGGGCACTTCATAGCAGCTTCAAAAGCAACTCACGCTCAGTGGGGAGCACTGTGGACAAGCCAGTAAGAAACACTGTGAAGACAGATACAACACAAGTCTTGTGCCTTTCTGGAGCACCCCATTTGGTGCTAAAGGGCATCTTGCCACTCTGGAATCATAGCTCAGACTCTCCCTGGAAAAGTACGTAGCTTTCAAGTCCCTACAGTTGGAATTATTTTTTTTTTCTTTCAAAATATATCTAGTAGAGGCATTAACTTGAGACTACCACTGAACTGTACTTCTGCCCAGTTTCCTCTTTATTGTTATGAGGTGTTGGTCCACGTTTCACCTCTAGAGAGTGTCATAATACGAAACAGTCTGGGGGAAAAAAATGGGCATTTCTTCTTACAGCCTTAACCACTAGCCTACTAGATTGTACTCTCATTCACTACTCTTGCTTCTAATGATTTTCTATATGGTGAGGCACGAATATACTTGTAAATACCCCACAATCTGGTGATTAGAAAAAGATCCTGAAAGATAAGAAGAGATGGAAATTTGATTCTCCCAGAAGTGATATTATAGTCAGTTCAAGCGATAGTGTACTCTGCCTATAGACCAGCACTGAACAGCTGCATAGACATCAAATACTCTGCAGGACCTTCATACAGAGGCACAGTGCTGTTTCTCTTGGGATCACACTGAAAAACACTGAGCATCAATGGCAGACTAGAACAGCTCCATATGCTGTCAGTACATTAAATAAAGTTACTGAAAACATTGTTTAATTTTCATCAGTGCTTAAAGGAGAGACTGACATACTATGTTAAATAGTCTTGAGCCAGGCTGAATGGCATTTGGAAAACTCTTTGGGCAGGAAAAGCTGATCTTGTCTGCAGTAGACCCAACATAATTCAGAATATGAAAAAGGCAAAATGAAGTAGAATCTGTGAAATTATTAAAATTTCTATAGTTTACATTCACAATTTCTGATAAAGTCCAAAACTCTTGTTATCTCATGCTCAGATCTTTCATCAGTCACCACAAAAATGTGCCGTACACCTGATGTCTGTCAGTGAGACTAAACATACAGGTTGAAAATTGTACCTATATTTACCATACTTGCATTTATATCTAGGTGCACCACAGAGTCAGAAAGCTTAGATTTTAAAAAAGCGTTCTTCATGTAATTTCTGCTGAAGCATATTAAAATAAAAGAAAAGTGTGTTGCCAAATTTATCTACAGACTTCAAGGCAGTGTATCATGTGTGCATAAAAAGAACATTATTTTTTCTTTGTTATACAATAGTTTACCACTGTTTAGCAAATCTTATACACAGAGAGATGTACACTAAAGACACACAAGTATGACTCACCATGGCTTTTTTCTTCCCTCTCTAAATATAGGCTTGTAAACTGAATTTAAGTTGGCTTTTTTTTTTCTTTCTCAAAACAGAAGCCAAAAACCACAGTGGTTTCTTCCCAGATATACATTCCTTTTTAACAACAAGATTTAGCAAATACAAAAAATGCCAATTATTTAACAAAGTATTAAAGCAGCCTTGCTGAACTGTATTATCTATTTGCTAAACTGTGACTGTTGTCAATACTTTAAACATTCTAATTCAAATAGCATAGAAAACATGAAAAAAAATTTTAAACTTCTTGAAAATCTCTGCAGAAAGGAAGGTTTCAGGAGAGTAGAATTTGATTCCAGAACTTGTTTTTCATAGAGAATTTCTAAATTCATTCACAGGGTTAATGAGGATTCCCTTAAATGTCACTGTCACCCACTAGAAGCTTTTCTGAGACCAGATAAAAGACCTTACCTCAAATGCTTGAAAGGTTAATCCTACATTGTAGCTTTCTGACACAGTTATTTTCCACACACATTCCTTCATTGGTCTGTAGTCATCAGGATAATTGGGAGACTGGATCTGGCCTTCATTTTTGTGGATTTCACCTCCACAGATAGCTGATAAAAGCAAGAAATTCTTATTGCCATTAATTACATTTTCTGTTCCCCATGCCCAAACTAATATTTTATGCTCCCCATTTTAAAACAAATTATAAGATTATTCTGAAAAGGACTTAAAAAGAATATCAAGGACAAGTTATTGAAAATAAATAATTTAAACCACTCTACTTATTTCAGTTAATGAACGCAATTCAGCTTTTCTAATAGCTATAAACATGTCTACAGTGAAAGACTTCAGACTCATAGATAATATGAATCTGCACATTTTAAAGAATATATTTAACAGGTCACAATTATTACATTTTTGTTTTTATTAGTCCTTGAGATGCACTTAATAAACATTCTTCTTTAGTATTTATTAACCTTAAGAAAGAGACAAATGATAGAGAAATCTTATTTTTTTACTGAAGTATGCTTTTTAACCTACAGTTTATCACTTCAAGCTCATACTGAATTTGAAGAAACAGCTAATATAAATCAAAAATATTTTCATGAAAAATAACTACACTTTTCAGAGTCCATATCATGTAAAGACCTGTGAGTATCAACTAAATTATATAGTTTACTGTTTAATTTAAGAAATTTCATAAGAAATTCCATAATAAAATGGATTCTATTTTAAGCAGGTGAATGTTGCCTTGTTACTATACTCAGTGTGTGTAACTGTCTCTATTAAGTAATCACAGAGCATATGGAAAACTTACGTCAGATTTTTCTGAAAAGTAAACAGAAAGTACTCAAAGAAATCTTTCTACACACAGAGACAAGACTATGCACCTTTAGTTAATTAAATGACTGGTAAAAAATAATACTTATTAATATTATCAGTGGTGTCCCTGAAAAATAGGTCACCTGAAATCTGATCACAGGAAGAGTTTCAAAATGTCCTGTCTAGTACATTAACACCTAGTGTCTCTTTTAGTAGTAAAATACTGATTTCATATTAAGTAATTTCTGAGGTTTTAGACTTTTTTTTTTAATATTCAAAGGTATCCAGTTAATATTTTTCCTCCATATTCAAGTAACTTTTAATGCTGTAAGAGGCTTACCTTCATAAACTGCTGCAAAACCTTTCCCAACCCAGTTGCTGCTACTGCGGAACTCAATCCACATCCTGCTGTCAGAAGATGCGAGGACTTCTGGCAGTTTGTCACCACAAAACCTGCCTAAAAACATGCAACCAGTAACTGCATTTTCTGCTGCCTCTGAAGCCAAATGCTGCAAATATTTATACAAGTGTTTAACATTATAAACAAGCGTAGCATAACCAACTCAGTGGAACTATTCACACATTTATATTTAAGGACTTGTGTTTCTGCAGATCAGGACCCAATACACAAAGGTTTTATTGCAAAGTTTCCCATGCTACTTTTCGTTAAAGTCAGACTCACAAATAAGTATAAAACCTATGGGGAATTAAGCAGAAAATTTATTGTTATAGATTGTTTTTATACATACAAACCCTGTCACTTTGGAAGGGAAAAGTGAGTATTAATCTTAAAACTGGAACATAATCTAGTAATAATAATAATAATTGTGTGAAAGGACCAAAGAGATTTAAAACTAGCATTCCGATGACCCTAGACCTTAAATTTAGCCTAGGTAGGTGTAATTTCTGTTTGTCTAGGTGACAGAGAAGGGAACAGGAGAAGAGGCTAATTACTATCTGGTCTTAATATTTTTTCTTTCTTGTTAAGGCTAAGAAAATAGGCACTACTGTTAAAAAGATGCCCTCTATCTGCTTCTTTTTCTTTTTCTGTTTTTAAATTGTGGCTGTGAGGATGCTAACAGTTTCAGTCTTCATTCTAAAAACAACAAAACTGAGCCATGAAGCAGGAGATGTTCAAGTTTCCTATGGTATGAAATCCCCAGTTGCAAACGGAGATCACAGGATGTCAAACTGAGACTCTGGATTGGGAAGTGGCATTATGTTGTGTGAAATCTTCCCACCAGTCCTCTGAATTAAGAAAAGGATGGCTGTAGCTTCCTGCCTATTAGTTGCAGAACTAAGACTTAATTCTTTATTGCTTTGCATGTCTACTCTCTGCAAGAGCAGGGAAGGGCATGCAAAGAACAAACAGAAGTAAACTTCTATTCATAATTTTAAAAGTACAGGAACAGAGCTCATAAGTACAACTCTGTAGCAGGTGTTCTCAACAACAGTGCATTTGTTCTTTGTGGGCTCTACAGATTTCCCATCATATGCTCTATAGAGACAAATGTCTCTACACTATTTCACCATAAAGGACTTATTTGATGCCATTAGGAGTTATTTCCTATCCCCAAGTTTAGATACTTTCTAAATACCTAAAACCCAAGATTTTTTTTGTGGGTTTAACAGCAAGTTCACTGAAAGTCAATGAGTATGGTAACTATGGATAGTGCAGCATTCAATAGTTGCATACCAAGCAGAGGTGATTTTCTCCAGTAGCCATCTCTTACTTCAATATAGTCGTACCAACACAGACTGCTCTTGTAAAGGTCCATGGTGGTGAAGTTTAAAACAATCTGCCATCAGAGGAGAATACCTAATTAAATCACATGTGGTTAATATGAGAAAATGACCACATCATGCTCCAGAACTGAAGCCAGAGTAGTCACCTCTAACAGGATTCCAGCTACTTAAACACAATTAATCTCAATTATTTCTTTACAGTAAATAAAAGTTGTTTGGGAACATTAGAAGTTTTCTATACATATTTCTTACATATTTGAGCAGATTCAAGACAGATTAGTCACATTTAATTGCTTACAGGGAGCTTTTCACTGAGAAATAAATGTTTGAGAATGCTAATAAGGTAAAATAATGTGCTAATATAATTTTGTCTTTTATTTGATAATTCTCCTGCCAATTTCTCTTCCATTACATTCTGACTATAATCAGCACTGACAGCTGTAAAAAAAAAAAAAAAAAAAAAAGGTTTTATTTTGATTTGTGTTTCCTTCTACTGTTTTGACAAGGTAATTTACTTTCAGACAAGTTAAATATTGATAATAGTGGACAGTAATGCTGAAAGAAATAACACTAAAACAAATGGTACATAGTCCCTTTATGATTCTTAACAAAACTATGATGAAGTATTTTATACAGAAATCTGAGTTCTGTGCATTTCTAGAACTTTTGAACATGGACTCACCATTTTACTGAGCACATCTGTAAATAGGCATATTTTCAATACTTACTGTCAGGACTATCCTAGACCACTACACTATCCCACTTCAGTTTAGAAATACTAATCTTCAACTGCCATAAACTTACACTTTTAACAAATGAATAGGATTCATCCTGGATTACAAGATGACAGAAATGTTACAGTTTGGACCCTAACTGACTTGGACAGTCTTAGCATCATGTCCTGCAATTTCAGGGATAAGCCAAAACAAGATTAAAAATTATTCACATTCTGTATTATAAAATAACTTCTAATTCATACCCGTTCATTGGATTTAGGTGTATTTGCAAAAAGAACTCATCTTCTTCCAAATCAGTTCCTCAGTGTAGATTAATAAGTATTTCAACTTAACAAAAAAATCTCCTTTAACATATGAGCATCAAAGCAATTTTATTTTTTGCTTTGATCCTAGGAACTCACAATCAAAACCTGGTTTTATAAAGCAAACATGAATTGCTGCACTGTAGCAAATACCTCACACTGCACAAATACATCTCCATGGCAGCCTATGAAACATCTGTGTCAGCTGAAAGGAGATCAATTTACCCTCAGTCCAGCTGCAAGGAGGAAATACAGCACCATAACTGAAACAATGGGCCCAAGTAGTCAGACAGGATGATTTACTTCCACCTAATCTGAAGGCACCGTGTGTCTCTCCAACCACAATGTAGTACAATATTAAACCAGAAAGGCAGAACTTTTTCAGATTGTTTAATTTTAAGAAGATAAAAGCTGTTAGCTATTGGAAGCAGCTAATTTAAAGATGACATAAAGCTCAGTGGTTTGGACACATAGGTGGTAGAGAGTTACAGTAAGACTCTTCTTCAAAAAATGCAAAATGGAGACAATCTTTCCTACAAAAAGCCTGTGAGTCTGAACAGCAGGCTAGCAGGAGCTTTCCTTTCACTTACTTTCCATGAAAAAATAACTAATTGCATCCATACGAGCGACGACATTCTCAAAAATCTCTTTTGTTTTCAGTGGAGAATGTGAAACTTTCTGACTTAATCTTAAAAGCTTTATCTTCACCTATCCCCAGTTGCTGACACGACTGACTGACTAGGTGGAAGACCAAGCTCACGGGTGATTCTCTGCAGCTTTCGCCTTTACTGCCATGGGAAACAGAAAACATCTGTAAGGCTACACATAAAACCCAACAGCCAGAAGTCCTGTACAGTGAGGCACATTATGCTGGCAGCCACAGCCCTGTGGGATGAAGGTATGAGACATGAAGCATGCCAAGGACTAACAGGACAGCACCAAATAAATAAATGAAGACCTGTTCGGACAGTTGAGTATGGCCAGACATTTATATCCATAAGCTGCTGCCACCTCCACAAAACCTCCAAAAGTTTGCTCAAACAGCAGTCTGCCTCCACAACTGTGTTCTCTGAGGGAACATCCTGAAAGCAGCTTTGGTACATTTTTAGGGTACCATGCAACAAATATAGCCTGCTCTCTCTTTTGGCCCCTTCCTTCTGTCACAGGGCCACAGTGAGGCAATAATTTAGTCTCAGATCTGTATGCAAAGAACACCTGCTTCCATGTTAATTTGATACTTTGGGAATAAATTTAGATAATACTAACTCGCATCCAGGCCTCCATTGGCACTCTGAATCATAAAGCCCTAGAACTTCAAAATACATTCTAGGCTTCCTTCCTGGGCTCTTACATGAAAATGGACTAATCTGAAATCAGACAATTGCTGTGTAATTCCTTCCCTTTGTTGCAATAGAAATTACCGTAGACATGAATATATTTAAGGAAAACTTGTTCCTTCTCCTGAAAGGTTTGCAGTAATATATATTAGAATATATAGAGAACATATATTCTAGTATCTTGAACTGTTTTTAAATATACACACCCTTTCCCTGAACTTTGAAAACCAAAGCAAATTAAGTCTTAATTAAAAAAGCAGTTTCAATTATTACCTTGTATTATGTAGATAGGGGATGTGTTCATAAGCATGGAATTCAAAAAAGATAACAAAATGCTCATCCATTTAATCATTCAGTGAAGTAGAACAATAGTTTTTATATAAAAAATACATGAGATCAGTGCTTTTAAAGCTCAAGCAGGGAGGGAACTGAGTGGGGAGGGGAGTGTTGCTTATGTCTTTTGTGAGAGGGTTGTTCAGGTTTATTTTTGTGGGTTTTGTTTTGGTTTTTTTTGTGAAAATCAGTAAGCAAATCATCCAGACAGTCCACTGCTAAACACCAAGGACTCGAACTCCTAACTGAGACATCCAGTTTCCTTTCCCATTTCAGATGTGGCTAGCTAGGTTAAACAGAACAAATTTCAGCAGCAGAGAGACAACAGCAATGATCCAGGTAAGCACAGTACATACTTTGGACACACTCTCAGCAGAGCAAACACTGCAATCTGGGTTTCTACTTAGTAACCCAATCCAGCTGTTGAGCTGTATTTCTCTTCAGATAGCTCTCATTTTTCCCTGGTCAGTTTTTCACCAGGACCTTGGTGGAGAATTTTTTTTTTTTTTTTTTTTAAATAGGAAGAATGTTTTCTTTCCAATGTTACTGAGAAACTGATAGGAATCTTTCAATGCCATAATACTCAGTTTCCAGACTATTGTACTGCTTACCTAAAAACAGTATGCATCAAAGCATTATCAGTTCATCCCCTCAGCCTGCATTCACTAGGTCACTGTGGTTGCGTCACATGCTCTGGTGCTTCTTTTAGTTGAACTGTTTCAACTTTCTGTTTCAATTTCCCTGCCCTATTTCCAGGACACAGACTTCCCATGTCATTCCTTCCTGGAAAGAGAACCTCACAACTCACCCCTTTGCTTTTGCCTACTGCTATACCTCTCAAACTTCTAGCTTACATGCACCCTTTCCCAGATGTCTAACCCTACAGGGAATTTTGCCTTTACTATTCAGGCACTCCTTCAGGGACATGTACTGAAGAAATAAATGCAACAATATTATCAGAATTCCAAAACCATCTACTTACCATGTTATTCTCCATGAGAAATATGCAGATTTGGCTAACCATACAAACACTCGTATGCTTTCCTTTGCTTCCACTCTTATTAAATTTCCAAGTGCTATTTGAATCTAACTCTGAGGATGTCAGAGAGGTCTTGTATATTCTTTAATTCACACAGCAATTGTTCGTCCTTTGCAGACTGTTCCTTCTCCAACTTGTCTTTCAAAGAAAGAGGCCTCACCAACCAGAAAATTTTTGTTTTTCTCAGCTCATGCACTTTGCAGTTCAGATTCCTTTTATACTCTTACCTTCTTTTTTTTCCTGAGTTTCTCAGACCACAGGTAGGTACTTCTGTTTGTATCTAACCATATTACTTGAAAACTTTACTGCTCTTAGCAGTTTCCTTGTTCCTTTTCACCCATGCCCATCTCAACCCAGCTATGCAGAGATAGGGGTTCACACGGGAGCCCAGATGAGATGCAGACAGCTGTGTTAGGGTCAGGCTGCTTTCAACAGCTGCTTAAGCGAACCCAGCTGGCTCCACTAGAAGCAAGTTATGGAAGCCATACCCTATACCTCCTCCACCAGCTCAATTGTGTGGCTAGACTGGTGGGAGACCTTCAGGCTGTACAAGTTTTCCATTTTCCATGACACAGCTGAAACAACAGATTTCTGTTTGGAAATTTCCCTTTTTCCAAACCTTAGTTGCCAGGACAGAGTCGGGAAAAGGATGTTTTGACTTAGGTGTGATCAGTGTCTTTGTCTCAAAGTGCTGCTATCTGAGTGGAAACCATTAAAATTTAATGAGCCTCCTCAATGACCCCCACCTTTGAAACGATATGAAATAACCTTCATAGCCTTTTCTCACTCTGGCATGCCAAGGTATTTGATAATACAGCAATTCCTTAACATTGACCAGAATTCATTAGCTGTACATAGGCAGAACCCCCAGTCTGTCACAGCTTGATTTCTGGTTGGGTATCAAACAAGTACAAATATATTTAAGATTCTGATTTACAATTCTGCAAAATATTAGAGCTACAGACAAGTCAAAGCTTGTTCAAGGGGACAGGATGGCTGAAAGTCTTCACAGCAAAAACAATCAATGGGTATTTGTCAGCACAATTAAGGAATTATTGATTACACAACAGATTAAATTGTGCCACTTCAACTTCAGAGAGAATGTATCTCATAACTCCTACTGCCTGGGATAAAAAAAAGCACAAAAATATAGCAAACACCAAGTAGTATTAAGTAAATTTTCTGCAGCTGGCATTTTTTTCCTGTATCAACCAAGGATTTATCTGTCCTATATTATCATTCATGTAAAACATTAAGGAAAACTGGAATATAGTGTAACATTCAAAAATGTGGATTCAAAAAAAAAAAAAAAACACTGGCACAGTTGCAACTCCCTATGCCAACAAAATTTCTACACAGCAGAAGGCAGGATTCACCCTGGCAGAGGGCATATAGTATTACTAAAACCAGCCTCCCCCAGAGATTTTTCTGAGTATAGATATACTGTGTACAGCAGTTTACCATATAGTCTTAAATCTTGAGAGAAAGGAAAATGTGAATAAACTGCCTTGTTTTAGTAACAAGGATACACACATTTTAAGTTGGGCTGGTAATTTATGATGCCTATCAATAAAAGCAATGGTGCAGCTAGTGTGTACCACTGCAGTTCTGTCCTGCATTGAATTTCCTGACATCAAAGACTGGAAGTGTCTGTACTTCCAGAAAGCAGCATGGATGCAAGTCCTCTAAACTATGTTCAAACAGCAGAATGTTAAATCTCAATAAATAAGACACAAGAGCTATACAATCTGGACTAATGCTTCCCAGTTTATTTTTAGGTGACTAAAGTGCTCATTGACGTTTCAGAACATGATGTGATGTACTTATACATACTCTAACCTCCACACAATGTTCCTGAAATCTATCAGGGTCAAAGCAGCAAACAAAGGAACAAAAATTTAAATATATTTTTATTTTCTCTTCATAATGTGAATATGTTATCATCATTTACTGAGCAAATTTGGGAGCAAGCATAATGTGTGCCCAAGGTACTGTGATATATGCATTAGTTAAGATTTAGACCTCAATTCTGCTATATGTTATTAACATCAAGTACTTGCAGTAAACAGGGTCCTTTCTCTCCAGACAGACAATATCCTATGGGAATAGTGTCAAAAAGTTTGTGTTGTCAGTGCTAACACAAATATAATTTACTTTGTTCTTGATGAACTTCAAGACTGTGAGAGCTGTAGGTCAGAACAGTGCCCTACAGACACAACTTATAATGTCAAATTTCAATTAGAAAACTCTATTTAGTCTTTTTCTCCATTTAGGGCAGAGGATAAGATGGGAAGGGAGCCGGACTTACTACACTGCTAACTTCAAGACAGGGGCTTTCCCCCATTAAGTTTTTGTAGAGTATAATACTGCTTCAGTGATTGGTTACAATCTCCAGATATAATGGTACTAGAAAGATATTAGTTACACAAATGTCTAGAGATAGGCTTACACAAAGTTGGAGTATGCTGTGACTACTTAAGCATGACCATTTTTTAACTCATATATTGATATTATTTTCAAAAGCCAACAATAATTGTAGATGAATGCTACAACTGTAAGTTTTAACTGAGAAATAGAAAAGAAACCAAAGTCAGTTTTGCTGTTATCACAGCAGTGTCTAAGAAGCAACACAAATAATGCTGACATGAAACTACCTATTTGAATTAATTTGCATCTTTTGTGCAAATCTCCTCTTATTCATCTGTTTTCATTTGTTTGTCCCTGCCAACCTGCAGAGCCACCCACGTCCTCCTGGCACAGTGTTTATTCTTCCTCCTGTCTCTGGCTCTTGTTCAGAGCAAATGCTTTCCAAATGACTTTGCTTTCATCCCCCACAGTGGCAAATGTTCTTACAAGCTCCTTGGGATAAAGTAGCACATCATGAACATATATTCTTGGTGTCTACCCAGGACCCTCACTTGAAAGAAACATGGAATGAAGCAATCCAGTCAGGAGAAAACTATGTTCAATACAGACCACTGACAAAACTGACTGAAATATCAGAGGTCAAATGCTGAGTTTTCCTCTTTGGACTCTCCATTACTGAGTCTGGTTCTGTATTTCAGTCTTTAGGTTGTATTTGACTTATTAATAGTGGCCATTGCTTCTTGTGAAGAAACTTGATATCCTTTTTCTTACACTCCTCCCCCCTAACCCCCAATATTTTGTCTCATGTGAAACTTCCCATTTCTCCCTCTGCCCTTATTTATTTTGAGGCATGCTAATATTATAGTAAATAACTTAAAACATGATTCAGCTAGCACATTTTGAAAGTGTACAAGAAGAACATGTGTTGCTTTCACTGGGATGGCACACCTCTGTCCCTGAACTGCTCTCATCAAGACGTTTTTCCACCACCACCCACTTTTCCCCTAAAATTCATAACCAGAAAGTAAAATTATATTCACTAGAACCAATACCATGGAATACCTACAATGACAATTTCTTTGCCCCACATTATTATTATTTCACTTTAGGAGCACCTCATTCAACATACTAAGAATTTTGATTGGCAGAGCCCAGGAGCTGATGCCCTACACCACTTGGTCAGCTCACCTGAGCCTGTGCTGGAGAAGAGACCATTCAGGAGCCTGAACTACCTCTTCCACCTTTACATTGAACCACTAACTGAACTGGAAGCCAGCTTTGAAGGGATTTCATGGTGCAAACATGTAGCAGATTGAAATCATGCCTTCATTTCACGTGGACAGCCACCAAATAGATGATGTGTGTGTAATGCCACAGATCAAAGTCAAGCCAATAGCACATAGTTCATGGTCCCATTTTTTATGGCAAACCATTGTTTTCAGTAATTATGCAACCCTTATGCATCCTTTATACTTAAATGAAAAGCTAAAGCAACATTTTACTTTGAAAACGGTATCTGTGTTTAGCTGAGGGAATGTTAAAATACCTTCTCCCCTGGGGTTACAGAGATTCTCCATATGCAGTGTGTGTAGGAAGGATAACCATTTGGAAATCCTGGAGAAGAAAAATTGCCTGTAGAATCCTGCAGTGTTTCTCCACAGGCTGAAAGAAACAAAATACATTAAAAACATAAAATTGAATGCACCTAAGAGTCAAAAATGCATCTTTCCAATATCTACTCAGAATACATTTAACTCACTGCAGATGCAGAATGGAAAACAGACCAGTTATTTTATGATTTATTCAAAACAATGATTTTAAGCCAGTCTGACATTCATTCCATTTTACACAGGATGTTTTTATTCCATGAACTTGTGTGCTGTCTGCTGACATAACCAAAATTACAGCATTCTTAAAAATGTCATTGCTGTCAATCAACTGCAAAATTATGCATATAACTAGTGAAAAAAATAAAAAGCAACACACCCTTAGACACTTCCCTTCAGAGCTAAAACAAAAGTAAACGAAAAGGTGGCACAATATGATTGGCATCACACTGGAATGTCGTCAGCCATTTCATTTAATTTAGTACTTTGCCCACATGAAAGACTTATGACCTAAACTCACTCATTTATACTGATATAGAAAACTAAATCCTATATTCAACAAAATCTCTTCCAACAGTGTTTTGCAGAGACATTAGTAATAAAGCAAAGCAAATGTAAAGTTCTAAAATACTAAAGGCTTTTATATTCTTTGTTATTGAAACTTTCAGCACCCATATCTCAACTGTCAATCATGCTACTAGCTGCTGGTGGACTGGTTAATAATTCCTCTTCATCCTAAAATATAGCATTGGAAGCTCCTGCCATTCTCTGCCACTAAAATGGATTGTGGTATAGTGTCACATCCCAGTCATCTTTTTTGACCATAATAAAGTTTTTTCACCCATTGATTTTGCAGGTGTGATATGAGAGATGCAAATTTGAGAATATTATCCTGTGATTGACAGTGTAATCAGATCTGAAGTGCTTTCAAATTACAGCACTACCACTGGCAGCAGGTGAACTACTGTACCATCAAAACCTCAATGAATTATAAATGATCTGTAAAATCTTTAAATAAAAGGGGACAAAGGAAGAGATTGCTTATGACACAGACAGACAACTGAGCTGTAAAGGCTGTCTTGTTAAAATGCGTCTAAGGTGTAATCTGACAACCACATTGTAATATCAGGCATAAGCTACATTCGAGGCATTAAATATGCTCTCCAACACCGAAATGGTTATTTTGATGAAGAGAGAAAAGAAAAATTGGTGTAGCCCTCCAAAAATGTAATGGATAAAGTCACCATAATTGTGTCCTTAATGAATGAAATAGAAAAAAAAAAAAAAAATTCCTCCTCTCATTTAAAAAATGCAATTTTATCTTTAAAAAATTGCAGGCAGTCATAGTAAATGAAGCATAAAAAAAGGTATTCAGTGCTAAGTAATTATTTTTGCACAAAGCCATTCCAGTGAAAAGGCTGTATTCATAATTAACCACAATTTATTTTTAACACAGTGATGAATGCAAACTTAAATAAATTGCAGAGTACTGTACTAGGTTCCCCCATCACTAGTGAATCATGTTGTAGCTTACAATGAGTATGTAAAGCACTCAAGAGAAAGCCAAACATAAAATTGTAGTCTTATACAGGAGTGGAGGAAAGCTGAGCCCAAAGAGGAGATGCATTGAGCAGGAGATGCATCCATGACTCAGGAGATCTGTGAGGACCCAAGTACTCTGCTCATCACTTTTAGAGTCCTCTCTTGTTCTTCCCCCCATGCATGGCTTCATTGTGACTACACTGCATCAGCATACTCTCACAAGGCATAAAACCATATTTCAAGCTTTAGTACACCTTCAGTTTGCTATAGCTATAACTATTTCACCACCAGTTACTAAGCAAGCTTTGAGTAAATGACCTGATGAGAGATGGGAGATGCTGTTTGTTCAATCCTTTCTGCTCATGTTGCATTTTTTTCAATTAACTGCAACTTCAACTCACAAATATTGATTATGAATTCATGCAATACACACACACTCAAAATATGAAGTATGTAAGCAAACAAAACGTTATGAAGTATGTGGGACGAATGAGGTATCAGTTCAAATGCAGCCCTGCAATTACTAAGAGGAGAGGAAGAAGACCCTGGTGCAACTACCCCTTACTCTAGTAAAGTTCCTTAATTACCTCATTCTAAAACTAAACACATAAATAAATTAAGCATAATAGTTTTAATTTTTTGAAAACATTTCATAATTTTTCTCTCTTATACAGAGTGGAGAAATATTTTCTTCAGAATACTTATACTCCATGTTTCATGTATAGAAGTTGTATGTTGCCTTAAAATTACAGATTTTAAGCTACAGAAACTGCCATGGAACATTTTATTTTTCTAGGAATTATAGAATAAAGCTATTTAATAACACAATTTAACTTATATATGCATTAAATGGGAGCTCTCTATCAAATCAAAATTTTCATAAATATCTCTGAATTTAAGGGAAGCATAATAAAAACTAATTGGATAATTTCTACTAAGAATTAAAACACACAAAGCACTTTTGGGCTTTACATTTTTCACCATATTTAACACTTAATTTAAAATTCCTGGTTACTCAAGATATCTATAACAAGAAAAGCTTATATCAGTTCATAGTTGAAGTAATTATATATGGGATCTGGGTCCCCGGCTGGCTTCCAGAACTGCTGTAGACAGGATGATATTTGGATATTTCTTGTTTAAAAGCACATTCCTCTGCAAGGATGCAATGGTAATTGTAACTGTGAAAATTCTGTCACTGGAGAATGTAAAGGTTTTCTCTGCAAGGGCTGTGGCAACTACAGTATTCATGATTAGGCTTATAAAATGTTATAAATGTTTCACCATGTAGTCCATTAGTAATAGAGTCAACTTTGGGAAAGAAATGTAGAAGGAAAACGAGTGGTAAGGGCCACTCATTTAAATTTCCTAATAACAAATCTTAGTGTATTTCATGTCAGAAGAAATTAATTACAACTTCAATTTGTATACCTCTGCTTTCTAAAGCATTTATACATTTTTATTCCACTGTTAATCAGTAACATTGCCAATGATTTCTCTGATGCTTTTTTCTCCCCCTCTCAAATGTCATGGCTTGTATTACTAAGGTAGACCACTTGCAGAAATGCGACTTTAGCTTTCTACACACACACACTCTAACCAAAAAACCACACTTCTGTCTGGTTTACGGCTTGATAAGGTTAGACTTCTGATAAGCCTTTCTGTGGTAGGGAAGCCATTTTGGCTTCTCCTAGCAATGGATGCAGGCAGTATGTAGATTATATGCTTATACAAAACAATTTCTACTAGTGAACTCTGTGGCAGTGTTTAATTACACAGCCTGTGTATAACATCTCTCTGGCCCAGTCTACACACATGGTCTAGTTCCATTAAGGGTTATAGTGAAATCTGCAAATAATGAAGCCCAGATCCTTCAGGACACTTAGGGAACCAACTTTCATTCCTTTGTCTGTAGCACTAACAAATACACAATGTCATATGTGGCTAAGTAAGCTTAGCCTTTTCCAAAGAGAATTAAGATCTTTAATACTTGTCACTTAGACCCAAGTCTGTGCAACTATACATATATGGCATATAAAGTAGCCAAAGAGCCCTAAAAATATCTGGTGATGATAATGTACTTGTTAAAACTAAAAACATAAACCAGTTTACTCCACCTCAGTGTCTTACTGTTGACTTGATACCCTTTATAGTTACAGGGAAATGGTCTTAAATCTAAAAACCTTAATCTTACTTATGTAGTGAATACAGGCTGACTTTTGAAGGTGAACACTCTTCTCTAATCTAGTAGAGACGGGAGAAAGTTAAGCCTGAAGAAGAGTGAGAACAGCACAAAAAAACAGCCAGGCTAGGTATCTTTCATCTGCTCTTTTCCACATGTATTGTCACAGACTGGCAATATGTAAATTTTCTGAACTTCTGCCCACCTTCTCTTCCTCTGACCAGCCTTCTGCCAGTCCAAGACTCCTTTCCCATCCATTCTTTATTCCCACTCCATCCACTTATTTCTTGTCCTCTCCTATAAAACTATGCATGAATTTTACATCAGCTACAATTTCTGTGTAAAACTATATAGGTAGGCCTGTGTTGAAATTTTAAGTTACTTCATAAACAATCTTTCACTCCATTAGACAGTCTGAAAACCATTGTAGCCTTAAAGTTGAAGATCAGTTCTCAAATTGACTTTCAAACAGAGTTCAAAATGAGATTGGCAGAAGAAGGATTGTCAGCTTAGTGGCTTACTTTCTCCTTTTTATTTTATCATGTAACAATGTAACTCAATAGTAAAATTATTTGTAACAGTAATTATGTTTTCCTTTGACAAAAGTACTAAGAAAAAATAAAAACAAATCAAAATGGCTGTTGCTAGACTGTGTCCATGCATTTACCCAGCTGATGAAAGACAGGTTATCAAATCTCATGCCTCAGCTTCACCAGCTCAAAACTGTTTCACTGTCACTAAGCCCTTTCCTGAATAATGACCTGAATATCCTGACTAGCTAAAACACCCCAGAAGGCTCAGCTGCCTCACTGTGGTGAGGTTCAGCTGTATTCTCCATCAGCCCTGAGCTCAACTTCACATCCACAGGCCCCAAGAAAATGCTGCCAGCCTCTGGGCCTAGAAACTGCTTGCAGGAATAACTAGAACTCCAAATGAAATATGCACAATACCACAAAATCCTTTATCAAAGAACTGTGCATCTGTGGAAAATACTGAATTATTTAAGTTAATAGGTTTTTATTTTCATTATATTACATTTAAGGCAACACAAATGAACACATGAAACAATGCAGAGGTTATTAATGTTTGAAATATTCACTGCTGGTTTATCATAAGGAGACATCATGATTAACATATTTTGTCTGAAGTAGGAAATAAAGCGTGCATCCAAGAACAACACGGTGTCAGGGATTTTATTGCTATATACTATGATGAGCACACGATTCTTCTCATAAAACCAAAATCTTAATGTCTGAATTTTCAGTCTTGCTATTTGATGGAAAATTTATTAGATTACAGGTACTGTGCAACTTTCATAAAGTTTGTTTCTTTATTGGATGTTTAAGTTTGTACTGTTTTATTCAGTTACGCAGTTTTTACTAAAAACATTAATTGAAACAAATAGCACATTAAATAGTGTGATATTCAAAATATGTGACAAAACTTTTCACCTTTTTCTCTGTCTTAAAACTCACTTTCTTTTATGGTCTGCCTCACCTGAGTAAGGCTAGAAAACCTATGTCTTCTATCACCAAGTTTGCCTAATCAATGTGCCAGACACGAAGCATGGTCCTGCAACCACCATTCATTTTTATTTTCCCCCTGACCCATGTTCACTGGTGCTGTAAAAAAAAACAATTTACTTTTGAAGTCCACACTACTGCTGGAAAAACATGTTTTTACAATACTGTGAAACTAACTTCCAACAAGAATTGCCAGACATTCAAATAAATGGTAACATTTTCTTGATTTACATGAAAATGACATTTTATCTGAACAATTATTTGAACATTAGCTCAAAAAGCACACGGCATCTTTTTCAGCTGACTGAAAGTTCATGTTAGAGTATTATATACACACTAAACAGCCTATGCTGTTTTTTGGTTTGGGTTTTGTTGGGGGTTTTTTTGTCTTTCTTAAGTCAATGCGACCTTAAGATACTAGCTACTCTCACAGTGGTTTTAAATCTGTAAACTATTATTGTCTCCACAATTTGGCTTTTATTAAAATATATAGATATTCTCTGTGTTTCCGAAAATGTTGTTCTCTGTATACTCTTATTAGAAATAATGCTGACACTCAGCATTATTAACACTGTTATTCAAGTACTCTCTGCACCAAAAGGAAAAACCAAAAATTATTCCAAAAGGAACAATGTTTACAGAAAACATGTTAAAATGGTTTCCACTCTGGTAGGCCCAAAAGCACTGTGCATGTTCTTAGTATATAGAAAGGTTATAATTTGGTGTACTCACAGTACAAAGGAAAAGAGTATTTCAGCTGTATAGTGTACATCAAATGCACATCAGGTGCCCCAAATCTTCAATAAGTCACATGCTACTGATACAAATTTGATGCAGCTCCAACACTTCAGTCCCGATCCCTCTTTTAGTCCTTCTGTATTGATCAGCTGGTAAAAAGTAGCCATTTATCTGACTCCAACAGTTACTGAGACTTCATTAATTCCCACAGGGTGCAGGAGAGTTGTAAGAGCTATGTGGCACAGAGCTATGTCTAGTCTCCTACAGGGACCTTGCTGGCAAATTCTGGCTGAGAGATGGCACTTCTGAACTAGCTGACTTGACACCAAAGGTTAAAACTGCTATCAGCCATAACTATAGCAAGGAAAGTAAAACATTTTGCTTTGAGATTTCCTCCACTCTACCAGCATTTAGCGAAGAACTAGCACTAGAGAACCACAAGAATCACAGGGTTGATTCTGGGTTACTCCAGACTTCCCACCTATGTCTCTGAGACAGACAGCAACTCTACCTCAACACTATTGTCAGATAGAACATTAATATGCATTGAAATTGTATGATGCCAGACTTAGGTAGAAGATATTATACTAAATCTATATGTTAAAACTGTAGAAATTTTGTAATAAGATCTAAGCAGTTCACCTGTATAAGAGTTTACAACCTTGTGTCCTGGCTTATTATTTGTTAAATTTTAAAAAAAAAAAATTTAATGTGCTCAGAGCTGACTGCAATGACTTAATTTCCCTCTTTTGCACTCTACTTGAAATCAAATAAAAAAGGACTCTAGTCAATATGCAAACCAAAAGTAATATTAAATGGTTCCCCCCTTCTTCCCAGTCACTAAAGAGCTACGGAAAAGAAAGACTGAAGTATCACGGAACTAAGCATTGTTTCATACAGCTTATCTGTCCTTAAGTGAGAGACCTTATCTATAAGATGGTTTTTTTATTCAATTCTTCAACTGCATATGTTAGTTGCCAGCATGGAAACAGACTACTGAGCAACTGACTCAAAAAATTTAAAATTCCTCTTGAACAGTAAGTCAAACAGTTGCTAGTATGCAGGTTTTGTTTGTTTGTGGTGCAATACCTGGACATCTATACAGCTTTCTTGCCTGTGCAATATCTCCTTTACTTAGACGAGTACGCTGGCCAATGGCAGGTCGTATACCATTATCATCACGGGAAGGGAGAATGGTATCCAGAAACATGCCCCTAAAAAAAATAAAAATAAAAATAGACCCCCAAAACCCCTATCAGGTTTCTGTCATAAAACTGTCTGAGTTTTATGAATATATAACACTATTTGTAAATCTAGAATTTACATTTGGCATAAATAAGAGGATAAAATGCAGAACTTCAAATACAGAAAACATGTCATAAAAATTCCTCAAACTGGCAAACTTTATGCAGTTACCAAAAAAAAATCTTCTTTCAATATATGAATTAACATATTAGCTTTTGTATTTCTGTAAGACAACAGGAGGGAAATTTCTTACTACTATTAAGACTATACAGAGGGAAAAGCACTACTGTTAAGCTCCTGCTATACTGAAAAAAAAAAAAAAATTATCTAAAAATACATAAATTAGCTGCTATCACAAAATTCTTAGTCACAAAGTTCCTATTTGTAACGAACTCTGATTTACAGGTATAAAAGCAGATAAAGAAAGGCACACTTGCTAATCGTTCTTGTGTCAGGTGTTACAACAGTTCCACCTCTACTCTAGTCACTGCTGCTTTTGAAAGAGGAACGTTCATTAGCCAGTCTCTGCTTGCTTCACAATGAAATATATCAACTTACCATATGTGATTTAATAATATTTACCCTAAATAACTAGACATAATAGAGATGCACACTTGTTTCAAATGTGCAGTTTCAGTCAAAATTTGTAGTCTCAAATAAATTGTGAAAGAGTAAGGTACGAAACTAAGTTTGATTATTATGTTGCAGAATTTGAAAAATCCATCAAATCCCATAAGATGGAAGTTAACATATTAATATCTTTCTGTATTCTCTTGTTCTTTAATTTTTTTAAACTCTTTTATACTTGTAGGTCTTTTATTGAAAAGTAGAACTGGTATTTTCAGGCATAATATAGGTTAAAAAAGGAATGAACAGTAAGGATCTTTGTATTTAGGAGTACTGTTTATACATTCAGATTGTTTTTTAAATCATATTAAATGAACCATCTTGTGTATTGCAGGTATATACTGCTCTCTTTACCACATCTTTTTGTGGCAGTGCTAAACATTTCACAAAAGCAGAATCATCTCAGGATGTTTCCCTGATCTAAACAGTGAAACAAACTATTTAAGGCATTATTCAGTTTCTATAAATAAAGCATGTTATTTCAAAAAGTGTTTGTATCTATAATTTATAATCTTATTTTCCACTGATTTTTAGTACAGCTTGAAAATGACGCTATTCATATTTTGAAAAATGTGTAAACTATCTCCTCTTAAATGCCTTAGCACTTTAGTAAGGGAAAAAAACCTGTAACAGCTTCAATGCAGCATGATGCAATGCATCACTGTGTGTGACTAGAACTTTATGGAGTTTTCTGTTTTCTGCTACTTATCCCTGTGAGTGAGGTCTAACAAACAGCTGGCAATATGCCACCCTGAAGATGATTCATGCTTTCAAGATAAACCAGTGCAAATCAATACATGACCTGAAGGGTTCGCTGGTTGTTTTTAAACAGTATGAAGTAACAACCTCTTGTACCTTGGGGCAGGGCATGCCTACTCATGGCATTATCAGGTTTTCCCACTTCAGAAAGTGGTGAGATCAGGCCTCACAAATTATCTTGATGTTGTCATTGCCCTAGGACTCTGGGGGTTCCAGCTTGCTAAATTATTCTCTTTTATATAGCTTCCTATAATCTCTCCCTTAAAGTAATGGTATCTGTAACTGGATTAAGCAATGTGATTAACATCTACCTCATGTGGCTCATTCTCATGATCTTCCAGTGGTGAACTATGTGTATGCTGAGTGCATCCTTCAGTAGGAATTTTATATTTAAAATAGTATCATTTATAGTGAGAACAACAAGCTTAAGCAACTTGCAAAGGCTCATGAGTTTTCTGGTGGTCTTCAGTTTATTTTAGAGTCTGAGATTGTCTAGCATTTTTACCTTAAAATGCATGAACTGGATGAAAAAAAAGGTCTAAGCACATAACTTTACAATTATTTTTTGGTTGTGGGTTTGTTGTTTTTGTGGTTTTGGGTTTTTTTTGGTGGTTTTTTGTTTGTTTATTTTTTTAGGTTTCTTTTAATTCTCTGATATTTTTAAAGAGTAATTAGCTGAACTGCAACTTGGTATGAAATGAAATAAGGTAAAATACTTCTTCACAGAGTAAACCCCATGTGAGTTACTACAGAGTTGGGAATGGATCAGCCTGCCAGAGCAAAACCAGTAAAACTCCTTATTATATGGTTTTGATGACAGTAACGATCTATAGAAACAATAGAGAAGAAGCTGCAGCTTCTGTTATAAATGGTTGACTGCAATCCTTAGCAAAAGCTGTAGTTTGTGTGGTACATGTCTTAATACCATAACGTGTTCTACCGCATAATCCATAGTTACTCAGACACTATACATCAAAGGAGATTTCTTTTTAAGAGAACAGATCATTTTACACATAAAATTCCTAACCATTTCATTCATTTGGTTTTTCTAAATTCAATTTTCTGTGGAAAGAAAAAGAGAGTATTATATGAAATGATGTTTCTAGATTGTCTTGTCTTAAAATCTAAAGAACTGACGCAAGATCAAAAGGCTGCTTTGAAACTGAACAGAAATGTATTTAAAATTATATTATTATGACTTAAAATAAACAAGCTGTGCTTTAACTGCTGTAAGAATACTATATAGCAAGGGATATTTTAGGAGGTTTCAGAATATTTAAAAAAGCATAATTCTTAAGATTCACAGAAAGGAATAGAATTAAAAGTCAAAAGGTATAACCTGAGACTCCAACCTTGAGAAGGTGTTCCTGGCATAGTGCATAATGCTGTCAAAGTCATATGGTTCACCAAGGGAATTCACCTCTCCAGGCTCCATCTTCAGGAAGTTGTATTCCTGACCTACAAATGATAGATAATTAGAGTTTCTTTAATATCTTTTTTTATGAAGATAAAAACCAAACATAAAAAAAAAAAATCCTAACCTAATCACTCACTGACATTCATATATCTTAGCCATTTGAGAATAACTGTATAATTTTATTAATCAGGAGGGCAGACATCTTCTGAAACACACACCAAATTCTTATATATTGGTATTTAGACTTTTCTCATTCACATAACTTACAAAAAGGCCCCATACATTTTATTGAGCTTTATGTAGAATCCATAAAATTTGCTGGCTTGGTTCTTAATCCCAGAAAGAAATCATTCTGACAGCAAAGACCCTGGAAGAACCCTCCTCACTGTAGACTCCTCAGACTTGATACCAGAGACTTCAGCAAAGCCCTCATGTAATACAAATGCTACAAAGTCATGTTTCCAAGAGTCAGCTCTTGCAACTTAATAAAAGCCAAAGAACAAAAGAATTATGCCTAGTTCATAATTCCAGACCAGATCTTCTTTGTCCTAATCAGTGTGGTAAGAGATGCAAAGCACCCCCTTAATCCAATTCATATTCCCACTGGCATGTTGCAAAAAATCTGCAGTGGCATTAACATTATCAACCAACATAATTTTCATAAAAAAAACAAAATCCAATGTCTTGGATGGTCATGACTTCCTGATCCCATTTAGTGATCCTCAAGCTCATGCCACACCACAAGAAATGGTTTCAGACAGAAACTAGTGGAACTGCCAGGAGAGATGAGGATGCTAAGGATGGCACTCCAGCTGATTTTCCTCATCACAGAAAAAGCATAGGGGAAGAGCACTTCTGGCATCTAAACAATGACACAGAGAACAGAAGGAAGGCTTGGATTCATCTGCTCTTTCAGAACTTTAGAGACTTCTGGAGTGGGTATTAGCTGCTAGTCAACTTCCAAGTCCTAGCTGAGGTGGCAAAGATTTATTGCATGTTAAGTCTAATTTGTTCTAAAACATTTTCTATAGGAACAGACAAGCATTCTAAGCTATCAGTGGACAATTTCTGATTTCATCCCTTCTTGAGCATAGAATTATCCTAAATCAAAATCAGTGTTTCACAAAGACCATACATATTTGTGTCCACTGCAAATGAAACATGCCCATTTCCCTTCCATCTTGCCTGTACTAGTGTGGGCACAAGAGCTAGACCAAAAATGAGAAGAGAATCAGAGTTTCCTCAGATGCTTTGTTTTAACAATACCAAGGCCACTGGCTAAAGCTGCAAGCTCTGTAGAAAAGGAGTAACATGGAAACTGTGGGAAGAGTGTCCATCTTTATCACAGATTCAGAGTCTCCAGCTTACCTTTCATGTCTAAACATCTTTAGCAGCTAAAAAGCTACTGACATGCTTCTACTTTCTTTCAGTAAAGACTGTGGAAGAAAAGCCCTTCTCCAGCACAGAAACATGACTTTTAAAGGGATTTAAGAGTAATGGCTTCCTTCAAAGTTTTTGAGCATGATTACTATTTCTCTCCTTCTACCCAATACTATTTAATATCTAGCTATTTGGCCAGATCTTTCAAAAAGATCGTATTTTAGTTGCAGTATTTTTTTATGACTCAGCTTGAGATCAGTCTAGCTAAGAGAAATAGCAGGCATAAATGTCCATTTCTGTTCTTCAGTTCATTTGGGCTTTCATTGTTCAGTTTTAAGAGATGAGCAAATGAAGAAAACACCAAAAATAAACAGACTTTTTTTTCCCCAAAATACCTATTAGAATATCTCACCAGGTTGGATATTTTCTCTAATGATGGTGACATGGTCATCACGGTCTGGTCGTGTATGTTCATGCCAAAAACCTATCACATGTCCCAACTCATGGACAACTATACCAAATTTATCACAGTTCTTGCCAATAGATATAGCTTGAGGACCATTTCCCCTTCGGCCCACGTAAGAACAGCACCTGTAATAAAAACACAAATGCAGATGAAAGTTTTCACACGTATCTCTACAAATCATACAGGAGATTCAGTTAAAATACCAGAAAATGTTATATATTAAAAAAAAAAAAAAAAAACAGCAGAACAATGGACTACACAATTTCTGCTGTCTCAGAAACTCTAGAACTAGCATAAGAACAATATATTATCCAGAAAAATCTAATAAAGGGCACATGAACAAAAAAAAAAAAAAAAAAAACTAAAACATGCAAGTTCTTTTTAAAAGATGCTAACTATAATCAGCTGTGTCATTTGTGGCCTTGTACCTCAAGAATGACTAGGAACTTCCTTTCACCCAATCAATCAATAAAGTTAGCTGGAATTACCATCTCACCCATGCATATCACTGCTTGTGCACACTCAAGAGACAAGGGAAGTGGAAAAAATAAGCAAGTCAAGGTTTCTTCTGTGCCATACTTCCACTGTGTGTATTGACGGCACTCATCAGACACTTGGTCATTCCGTTCTGATGTTTGCCTAATCTTAATCTGTAAACTCACTCTACTTCATGAGTTCCACCTATAAAGGGTGCAGAAATTATTCAAGTGAAATAGTAGTCCCTTAAAAGATTCACTTAGCACACAGTTGAAAATGCAGAAGGAAGATATCCTGAATGAGATTCTGGAACCTCGTGATGCTGCTGTGAAATCCCTCCTCATTTTTTTGTTTCTCTTGCTATAGGTGATAGGCAATGTCATTTGCAACAACAGTATATTAGAAGGTTGAACGCTCTGCATATGTGTGAACCATTTCTTTTCTCCCACTCCTCTTTTCTTGTAATAGAAAGCTTAGCCCTAGAAAGTTGCATTTTCACAAACAAAAACCTAACACAAACAACCAAAAAAAAAAAACCACTTTGCAATTGATCTCATGTTTCATTCCTGTTCCACCACACTTCCATGATTCCAATGTAAACTTATGGAACAGAGATGCTGTTTTCAGCATTCATACTGCCAGCATTTATCTGAGATGTCTACTTTTAGTTAGACAAAAAAGTCTGCTAACTATGCTAGCAAAAGTAGAGAAAGGAGCATAAAGCAACTCCTACTGAAATGGAAGACAATTTCAGGTCTCATAAGCTGATTTCTCTCTCACCTCTGAAGACCTTAGATATTTCAAGCCAGCATTATATTCCCTAATAAAAGCCCAAATTTCCACCTCTGTTCTGTAAATTCTACAGTCTGTTAGGTGGAATGGAACTGTACCAAGCAAATCACCTCTACCCCTACTCTCTCCTTCCTGCAACATTCACATAGCAGAATATTAAAGAGAATACTAAAGGTCCTTAAGGAGCTCGATGCTAGTGTGGAGAATGATCCTATCCTTTCTATGCCTCTGTGGACAGTGAAGGAAGAGCAGCTATGTGAGCAATAGCCATAGTAGATTAAATTCTAGCCTTTTGCTTGTTTCTCCATTTCAGGTTTTCTGGTGGTAAAGATAATTTTCACTTTTGTTAGCTGGCTGGTCCATCAGTCTAGGTTGCTTTTTTTCAGTGATTTTTCTTAGTGTTTAGCACTACCAGAATTTTAAAATATGAATATTAGAGAAGTACAGGAATGGTATTTCAGCTCACAATATCTGTTCTTGCTAAGCAGATACTGGTTTTGCACTAAAGGTTAAAATCAAGGATAGACATACTTTTAAAATTATAGTAATATCTTAAAATCACAAAGGCCACACAAGTTTCTTTATAGAAGTGAATACTACAACAGCCTAGGAGGGTTGAATCAAGTATTTTGAAGCTACCTTTAAAATACTGTTAGGGAAAAATTATAGTTCAGATTACAATCATACTCTGCTATCTCAAGTGCTTCCCAAGTATTCCCACTCTCAAAATAAGTTAACTCTTTTTTTCCTACTTAGATAGTTCCCAGGATAGGTATGAACAAACATTTTTTAGGTCAAAGCACTGACTTAGGTTCAGTGCTTCAGCTACAGTTGTGCAATATCGTGTTTAATTAATTTCTTAGGCTGTCTTCCCTTGATAGCTCTCTTCAAGACAGCTCTCTTCAAGGCAGCTCAATAGAGACAATGGCAATTTAGACTCCCTGCAGAAATCCACCACAGTAAAAGAAAATAAAGAACTCCTCTGTATTGCCCTGGGTATTTCCCTCACTCTATATAAACTGCATTAGCATGAAACTACTGTTTATTATATAGAAATATTATTATAAATGCTGATATAAACAACTTTAATAGAAAAGCTACTCCTAGATGTGCCCTAAAAATACAGCATAGCTGTATTTTTCTATATAGGTGTAATACAGAAATAGATAGTAGAAATAAGATTAAAATTAAAATTTGAAGCAGTTACACCAGTTTTACAATGGATTTCACCTTTGCACCTGACATGCTTACAGTTTTGTTTAACATATTTTTCAGACTGCATGTTTGCAGAATCAATATTACAGCTAGAGGTGAATATGTAAAAAGAATTAAAGCACTACAGATATTTTCAATATCATTTTTACCCAGCTTTTTATCTATGAAACCATTTGAATATGTTTCTGTTGTGCAATAAGGAAATTACCATTGTTCATATACTCCCTTATTCACTCATGCTCACCCTGGGGACAAAAGTGTTTGGATCCTTAAAGAAAGTTTTGGGGTTGTTTTGTTTGTTTTGGTTTGGTTTTTTAAATCAAATGTACAGTGTTATTTATTTAGACAGGGAAGGCTGGAATACGCTTTGTACTCTAAGCCAATGGCAGCAGACTTTGCAATTACTCTTCATTTTCAGAAAAGGCCACTCATTTAAAAAAACATTGAAGACCTTCTATCCTCAGTACAGAATTCCCAATTCACTTGCACAGGTGTTAAGTACACTGAATAAATTTGTCAAACAGTCCCTAGATGCCAAACTTAAAATCTTTTAGAAAACATTTTTCCTTATCTTTGTGCACTTTGAAGTAAGGATTAAGATGTGGCATTTGTACCTTGGCAGTGTACAGGTAGCCACAGCAGAAAACAAAAGAATCAATCAGATGAAGTAATCACATTCTGTGAAAGCATGTCACTATATTCATATTTGATAAACTTAATGAGTGAGGGCTTCCTACCCATGCTAGAGTCCTGTACAACATTATGATCATTATGCTATACTGAACTTAACTTATGCAAAGAGACAAAATGCACTGACAATACCTAATGGTTGTTTTAAAATTGGAAAATCATAAAATGCATGCCGTCTGTGAAATTTCACATGACAGATTACTAAATATAGACAAAATTCCACCAATTCTTGCAAAATTTGGGTTGAAAGGGACCTCTGAAAGTGTCAGGTTCAACTTTCTGCTCAAAGCAGGGCCAAAGATGAAGTCAGACCAGGGTTGTGGAGGTCTTTATCCAGTCAGGTCTTGAAAACTTCCACAAATGGAGAAGGCACTGCACCTCTGAAGAACCTGCTCCAGTCCTTGGCTGTCCACTCTTGAAGAATTTATTTCTTATATCCAGTCTGATTCTCTCTTTTCAGTTTATGCCTGTTGTCTTGCATTCTCCCACCAAGCATAACCGTGAAGAGCCTGGCTCCTCCTCCTTGTTGTTCTTCCTATAGCAACTGGGGGCTGCTGCTGGGTTTCCCTGAAGCTGCCTCTTCTCCAGTTGAGCAAACCTTGGACCCTCAGCATCTCCTTATAGGGCAAGTTGTCCAGCTCTCAAGCATCTTGGCAGCACTGTGCTTCAGTCCTTCCAGGTTATTAATATCTTTCTTGTATTTAAGGCCCACAGCTGAGTATAGGGTCTAGCTGTAATCTAGCAAGTAGTGAGTTGGGAGGGCTGACCCCTCCCCTTGAGCCACCAGCTGCACTTCTGTTTACACAGTCCTCAATGCTTTTGGCTGCCTTTCTTGCCAGGGCCCATGGCCAGCTTCTGTCCAGCTCACTGCCCCATGGCCTGCACCTCCACAGAGCTGCTCAATGACCTTGCAATGCTCAGCCTATCTTGCTCTTCCTTTTCATGGGCAGGATTTTGCATTTGCCACTGCTGAACTTCCTAAGGTTCCTGTTGGTCATTTCCTCAAGCCTGCCTGTGTCCCTGTGAGTGGCAGGTCTACCACTCAGCCTACGAGCTGATCACTCCCAACTTGTCATCTACAAACATGACGAACGTATGCACCATTGCCTCTTCGAACTTCATTGATAAAGATGTTCAAAGGACAGGTCTCAGGATAGGCTTCTGTGATACCGCACTTTCAGTCACAGCCTGAGTCCAAGCCATTAACCATAAACCTCCAAGCCCAGCCACATAACCAGTTTTAACCTATTTAGCTTTCCATTCATCTATACTCCTACAAAATTCACCTTGGAGATGCACCACATTTAAACACATCTGTTTAAATCCTGGAATCTAATTTGAATTTAAAAACCTTTATGATCTGAATACAACATATGACAGAAGTGCACGAGACTGATGAAAAAAAAGAGTTAGGATAACCACATAAAATTACAAAAAGGCAGAACAAATCCTTTAGTTTAAAATGACCTAAACATTTCTGCTGAGTCTTCATGGTTACCACTGTGTGGAAACTCTACAGAGAAAAATTGCAATGCAGAACTAAAGAATAGTAATCATTATTTATAGCTTAAACCCATAGGTTTATGAAGACTGTAGGTTGTATATTATTTAATACAATTTCTATGGTTTTAACATGCTTATGTTATCAACTTCACATACGTGACATGCTGCAACTAGCAAAGATATTCAGTTGCTTAAAAATTTCCAGAGATTTTTCAATATAATTTTTCACAGTGATACTTTGTAGAGAAACAGAGAAAAAGGAAAACATGAAAAAGTAATAAATAATTATTCCAGATAGTACCCTCTATGATGTCTTCAGCTCTCCTTTCATTGACACTATCTACAACAAGAGCAAAAGAATAAAGCAAGAATTCAACTACAGTTTCTCTCTTCCTGTCCTTTTTACTTGTTTTAGAACAAAAGAAGGTTTAATATTTTAAGGCTGAGC